ATAAATAAAGTGTTCAGAACCTGCCACACAGTCAGCTGATCTCCATAAACCATCTTATGCAGATGGCTACTGTACCCGTCTATGTGTCCAGAGACAGTGATTCTACAACATTCCTCTGACAGATTTTTTTTCATTGTATTAATTCCTCTTACTCAACTCTCTTTCACCATGTCTTTATTTAGGTCATCCAAATCCAGTTAGATTACTTGTGCCCAAGTATAATATAACGCTCTGTGTCATTGCAACAATTTCTAGGTCCAGCTCCTAACTCACTTTCCAACCCTAATGAAACAAGGAAATCAGAGGATAGAGATATTAAGCGACATGACCTAGGTCATGCAGGATATCTGTGACAGAGCTGGGAATAGTCCTCTGAAAATTTTGAATTCCTTTGTGTTGCACATGCTGATCTTAGATTTCTTCCTGTGTTTTTGTGCTTACTGGGCACATCTACACAAGACGCTTTACTTGAGATTCAAGAAAATGACTGCACAGTAAGCATTACCATCTACACTTGCCGATGCTTACTGCACAGTAATTTGCTCTAATCCCGAATAAATTTGCTACTTGTAACTAAAAGTAGCAAATTCACTCAGGAGTAATTACTGCACAGTACTGAACGTGTAGATGGCCAACTGGGAGCAAATGTGCTCCTGGTCAGCTAAGCTGACCAGGAGCACAGGTTGGCTCCACCACTGGAGCCTAGGTGGGGACAATGTCCCCCTGCCTCAGCAGCAGGAAACTCCCAGCCCCCGCTTCGTAATTGTGTTCGGGATTGTGGAGTGGGGCCTGGGATTTCCCTGCTTCTGGGGCAGGGGGACATTGTCCCCACCTGGGCTCTAGTGGCAGAGCCTGCCCTGGCAGCAGGCAGCTCCCGGGAGTAGGTAGCAATGTCCCAGCCCCTGCTAGGAGAGAGCCATCTCCTCCTCCCATGCTTCCTGCCATGCCTTGGGTTAGCACCCAGAGGGAGCCTAGAGCTCCCCCTGGCGCTGCAGAGAGCTGGTGCAGGGTGGGTGGGGGCGGGAGCAGACTGATGCCATGACCAGCAAACCTGCTCCCACTTCCCTGCCTGTGTAGACGCCTGCCCGGGGTGGATTTACTCTAGAGTAAATTACTCCAACGTAAACTCACCCTGGAGCTTTGCATATGTAGACACACCCGCTGTATTTCTATCCACATCTCAAAAAAAGCTTTTTCCATTTTTTAAAAATGTATATGTTTCATTACACCCTGCTTCAGTACTATAGTAATTTGCCCTTTTCCCTTACGGTTAAGGAAATTCTGCAACATACTACAGCAAAGAGTCTAAATGCTGCAGTAACATTATGGTACATGGTGGTGCATTGGACTGTTGTTGCAGAATACATGGACACAGTTTTGGAAGTTAATGGTAGTTTTCATTTATAGATCTGAAAGCAATTTACAAACTTAATTATAGCACCACTCCACCTTGCAGGCAAACTTTTAATGTTTTTCCTAATCTCTATTTATATGGGGAAGAGTTGTTTATTCATTTTACAGTTACTGTTTTTAATCATTTTTTTTTCATTTTCCATCCCTTGTGCTTGCTTACTTATTCCATATGCGTACATTATATAAGCCTATAAAGAAGCAGATCTGTTGGCAATGAGGTTAGTCTTGCTAACACACTGGAAGAGGATGCTCTTAGAATAGGGATGGCCCACCTATGGCATGGGCAGCTTTGTGCGTGGCACATGGCAGACTGGAGAAGAGAAGGAAGCACAGTGGCAGATAAGAGCAACAAGCAAAAAGCAGAGCATCAGATCGGGCAGGGAGCACAGGGTAGAGAGTGGAAAGCAGAGCAGCAGAGCAGGTAGGGGAAAGGGATCAGAGTGGTACTTAGGAAGAGTATAGGGCTAATTTGGGACATGCATGCCAAAAAGGTTGGTCCCTACTGGTCTTAGAAGATGGCACACAGGACTGGGTTTGCCAAAAATAATATCCTTCTCCTTCCAACCTTCTGGAGAAGACTGAGGAACACCTAACATGTCTGGCACTCAATAAATTCCAGCAATATACCCAAAACAGCACTTGGTCATCCAGGAATAACACTCAGCAATTATATATATAATGCTGCTCATCCCCAGGCTTCAAATGAGGGTTTCTATGAAGGTGAAGAAGCTTTATTACCATATATAATCATTAACCACATCACCAAAAATTAGCCCTCCAAAATTGGGATGTGTGTCTTAAGCAGGTAAGGCAGTTTTTCTCTGCTAGAATAGAAGCATGGAAGAATAGAAGGATGGAAACACTGGGCACATCTACACAAGATGCTTAACTTTGCATTAGCATAGTTTACTGTAAAGTAAGCATGTGCATCTACACATTCACATGCTTACTTCACAGTAAATCTCCCTAAGCCCGAGTAAATTTGTTTACTGCAAATACAAGTAGCAAATTTACATGAGATTAGTAATGGCAACCATAGCACTCATGTAGGCACCTGACCAGGAGCAAAATCTCCCAGTCAGCCATCCATCAGGGCAACCCAATGGCAACTGCAGGGCTCAGGATGGGAGATCCCTGCTAGTCGGAGTAGGGGAGCCTGTTCCCTGCCCAGCTCTACAATTGCAGAGCTGGGGCTGGCAAGAGGCTGGGAGCTTGTTCCCAGCCCCTGCTCCATGATTGCAGAGTGGAGACTGGGAACAAGCTCCCCAGCACCCACTCCATGATCACAGTTGCAATCACAGAGCTGGGAGCTCCCTGCATGGGGATAGTTCCCTGCCCAGCCTGGAGCTGGCTGGGAGCTGCCCCTGACCTGGACAGGTCCCAGCCTGTCACACGCTGCACAGGGAAGCATGTGCAGCCTGAAGATGGCTGGAGACTGTCCAGTTTGGGGCAGTCCCCAGCCAGCTCTGTGCTGCACATGTAGACTTGCCCACACAGCCTGGGGCTGGCTAGGAACTGTGATGGGGAGGGGCAGGTCTCAGCCCCATGTCCTGATTGGGTGATCAAGGCACTGGGCTTTGAAAGAGCTGGCAGGGCTGGGGTAGACACCTGCTCAAAACCCCTTATTCCAGCTTATTTTACACTAGACTAAATCTGGGCCAGAATAAATACATGTGTAGATGCACCCACTGTATTGCAAAATGGGTACAAGCTTCTTTTTCAGCCAGCAACCAGGAAGGGTGGGGTGGAGTGGTAACCCTTTCACAGCTGTTGTCAAATTGGAAAACCAAAACTGCTGCCAATCTAGACGTGGCTGTGAAATGGTTAACATTGGACTCTATCTCTCTTGCTTCCTGTCTCCAAGAGAAGCCTTCAACCATCTTGAGGCATAGCCTCTCATTGAAAAAGACTGCTTTCTAGGCCATGACTCTCGAAAAATCTTTTGTCTGCATTCTATATTCCAAAAAGAGCATGCATGTCTTATCTGGCAGTGTGTGGTGTGTGAGAAAATAAGGTAGTCTCATTCTATAGATGGAGAAACTAAGGAGCTGAGCTATTAAATAACTTTTCAGGGGTTGTATAGTATAACAAGCAACAATGAATAGGTCTAACTCCCATTCCAGAGGGTTGTCCACTAAACTGTAACTAGACTCAGCTTTCTACTCCAAGAAAAGGCTGCAGCAATCAAGGTGTGTGTCCTCCAAAACAGAGGAGGAGGAGAAGGGGTGAGGAGAACTCCAGGATTCTGGCACCCCTGTTGCAAAAATACATATTCAAACAAGGTTTTTTTCAGCCTATTTCTCCATGTGCATCCAGAAAATATAGCAGCAGGGGAGCGGGTTATTGGTGCCAACTCTGTGAAATCTGTTTTGTTCCTCAGTGAAGTACTTTTTTAAGCAACTAAAATGCATCAATTATAGGTGTTATCTCTAATTAAAATGAACTGAGGCACATAGCTACTTCTGATTCTCAAAGGCCCAAAGTCCAGCTAGAAAATGAAGATAGCGGCTTACAAGTGAAAATAGTTCCACTGAGTATAAATGACACTGGATGGGCTCTGACCTCCTGGGAAGGACTCTCCAGCTCTCTGAAAAGCAGTGAATAAAGCCAAGTTACAGGCAGACAACTCCCTTGCCAATACCTGTAACTTCACAGGTAATGTGTTTATACCTGCCAGCATCCCTCCTGCACACTCTGCTTAAACTGCATAGAAGTAGTTGGGCTGTAGATGTGTGCATGTATTACACACACGGTCAGCAGCTCTGTGAGACTCCTAAATCTGAGGACAGCAAACCACAGTTGTAAACACTGTATTATTCAGCTAAATAGCAAACCATTAATTGAAGGGAGTGGGCAGGGAAATTTACCCTGAAGAAAAAAAAGAAAAAAGAAAAAACTACCTAGATTACGTTACAGGCCGTTTGGCCTCTGGAACGTGTGCTCATGGGCATTGCCACACCTCACACTTAAGGACCTAGATATAGATCGGCATATGACTTATGCACTTCAGAGCACACTTAAAAAACATTTCTGTGGGCAACATGTCTCAGTGTGACTGGCTATTTTGTATTGTTTCCTGTTGGGCCTTTATGGACATATTGCTAGATCCCTCTGAACATCCACTTCCTTTGTGATGGTGTTAGTGAGGAAACAGTACGTAACCAAATATATCACACGTAGAGTCAGTTTGTGGCTGTATTTCAAACTGGCAGCCCACAAGCACTTTTGTGCAAATGAGCAGTCCAAGCCCTCTTGCTGCCGCCCCCTTTGTCTTCCAAAAATTCCAGCTCAGCAGGAGATCTCTGTTTCTGTTCTGACATGCTACCTTTCTCTTCTACCTTTTCTAACCTTGTAACCCTTTCATTTTGCAAGCTTTTTTCAGGGGTGTATGCTTTGTTCTTGTGTCCCTTCAATATCTATGACCAGCAAAATACAGTAAGATAGACCTGAAAGAAAAAATCCCTTCATGCCAGGTGGGCCTGTATTGCGTGGGCAATGTCAGAGTTCAGATAACTTCCCCAGGTTTTTCTCTCCGTTTTAATTGCCATCTCCCCATCCCTTTGGCTGCATCTTCATCTACAGGATACTGGACTTGATTGAAGGGATATATCAGTCTTGTGTTACTGAGAAAAAAAACAGTGAAATGAAATCTACTTTGCCAAAATTCTGCACCTCTGTGCAGTCATCATGGTAAGGATAGGTGAACCTGTGGCTTGTGCTTGTCCACACTATCCATTTTCAGCAGAAGAAAGTACACAACAAGAAACACGTGGCTATTCCTGTTCTTTAGGCTTACATGTATGATACTGTAAAGATGATCTAGGTGATCTTTAAAAGTCATCTAGTCCTTTAATAGGCTTGTCAGACCATTCAGTGCAGTGCAGTGCCTTACTGGTTTTCCATTATTATCTGCTGGGCATAAACAAGTAACCATCCCTATACCCTAGAGCCAAATGTCAACTTTGAAAAAGGGAAGGAATTTGCATATTGTCGAAATCCTATTTCTCAACCTTGAGCATTTGGATCTTGCTGTAGAATAGAGGTTTGCAGCTCAGGCTGTTTTCTCCATACTGTACAGATGTGCAGGGGTTCTTTTATCTCCCATCTCCATTCCACATGGAGCTATCACGGTTTCCCTTCATTCTGTTTTCTATTCTACCCCTTTCGTCCGAGCTTCCCTCGAGGCCCCGTATCACAGATTTACTTCTTCTATTTTTGAGGACAAGGAGGGAGCAGGCGGTGCCTACAGCAGCTGAAAAACAAGACGGACATATCTAGCACAGGCCAAGAAAATAAACATGAAATCTCCTGTGTTGCCTGATTCTCAGGCATTCTGAGAAATTTTCCACTTTTCCTTTTGATTTGCTTATTTTACGAGCTCAAAGAATAAAGTATTGGATGTTACACGTCCATCTGCCCCTGAAAATAATTCACTCATTCCACCACGACAGACTTCAAGGAAAAATCAGTGAAGGGGAAAAAAAGCCAATTGCTCTGCAAACTATCCAGTTGCCCAGCAGCTTTAAGAGTCTAAATGAAAAGAATGTTTTGGTTTGGTGTCCCTCCAATTCTCGTGGTTTACTTGAGGATTTCAGAGAACGCATTTTACTCTCTTGCTAACTGCTAGAACAGATTTATCCTTCAGCCATGTGCAGAATGATTATACAGGCCTAGAGGGAGTCTGAAAGCATAAACATTTACTTCATAAAAGAGATTCTGCAGACAGGAGGCCAGAGACAGTTGACTCTGGGTAATCATTTGTGCTACATTTAAAAAAAAAAAAATCCTCAATTGCCAGAAGCCATAGTGGAGGCATGCACACACGTAAAGAAAACACAGGCCTTTTCCACAATGGGCAGCAAATAAATCTGGAGAGGTCTCATAATAATGCAGTCTGTTGGCTGAGTGCTGTTCAGAGAATTTTCCAAGGCAGCCATGTTTAATACACAGATGAAATCAATGAAGACTGCAGATCCCACTACGAATGCTTTGTCTTGATCCAAGGTTGAGTAAATTAATAAAAATAGAGGCCTTTGGGTCTGGTTGAAGAGTGTGGATTAAAAGATCCACCTGCTTTAATATGGGCTTATTGTGAAGGAGGAAGGAGAGTCTTCGCAGATTCCCATGCCAGTTCAGACTGCAGTAAAATTAGTCTCTGGGATAAGAAGAATGTGGCTGTGTTCAGTTATTACAGCGAGCATTGCTTTTCAAATATATAGGCAGCTTTCAAATATATAGGGTCAGACTTCCCAGCCCTCCACGAGGAGGCACTCACATAGCTAATAAGTGCAGAAAGAGCATGGTGCCTGACACAGCTGAAGGCCAGACGTGATTGTTCTGCTTCTCTGGTTTGAAGTTCTGTGTTACGAGCTACGGATGTTTATATGTTCCCTAGGACTCTGCTATCTAGATCAACTGGATACGAAGATCATAACAGCGCCCTTAATGACTGAGCACAGCAGTCTTCTGTAATACAGATCTTTGATCTGGGAGTCTTATTAAACCTGTGCAACTTCTAGATGCCCAGGAAACAGCTGTAGCCAAAAGCACTTTTTACCAACTGAACTTGTCATGATGAGAGCATAACCTGTTCTTAGAAATGAAAACCCTTCTGCTTTCAGAGGACCGTTGTCAATAGGAACCTTAGTTTTCAAGGTTCCTGGTGTGATCCACTAGGAGTTAGAATAGGAATGGGAGTTAGACCCATTCATTGTTGCTTGCTCTGCTATACAACCCCTGAAAGGTTATTTAATAGCTCAGCTCCTTAATTTGTCTTAATTTGTCCCTTATTTTGCCTTAATTTGTCCCTTATTTTCTCACATACCACACACTCCCAGATAAGACATGCATGCTTTTTTTGCAATATAGAATGCAGACAAAAGATTTTTCAAGAGTCATGGCCTAGAAAGCAGTCTTTTTCAAGGAGAAATTATGCCTTAAGATGGTTGAAAGCTTCTCTCGGAGACAGGAAGCAAGAGATAGAGTCCAGTGTTAACCATTTCACAGACACTTCTAGACTGGCAGCAGTTTTGGTTTGCCAATTTGACAACAGTGATTGATTTTATCTCACTCCTCAACTTTCTTTCTTCAAGCTCATATCTCTTGCGCCTCTAGATACCACAAATTGTGGTGTCCTTCAGAGTGCAACATCCTCCCATATTTCTCAGCCTCTCACTGATCTACCAACTCCCCTCATATATCTGAGCACTGAAGCATAAGAAAATCCATCATTTCTCTACAGAAAAAATACACAAATTTATGTGAAATGCCAAAGCAAATGATAAAGCATTTTTTTTTTAATTATAAACTTCATTGCTAAACAAAAAAGAAAGATTTCTACGCCTCCCTGCCTTTCTGCCATCTGACACCACCAGGGAAGAAAAACATCAAAGAGCAACTCACACAAAGGGACTCATGGACCCAGAGGAACATACATCCACCTTCGGCTTCCTCTGTGCAAAATTAAGCTTATTTTCTAGCTAAGGGGGCTGTTACCATTTTTATTTTCCCCTCAGCCTGAAGAAGGGTGTGCATGCCTGAAAGCTTGCAAAGAAAGATTTTTTTTTTTGCTATTTTCTAGTTGGTCTAATAAAAGGTATCACCTCTGAACCAAGTGTTTTAGAGTTCTGTGTTCCTCAATGATAAAGCATTGCATGTGTGATTCTAATTAGGCTCACCAGCCATCTTGAGATTTGATAGAGAATCTCAATTTTCATAGGGGGTGACCTAAAAAGACTAAGCTAATGCAAAGTAAAGTGTCACCATCTACAAATGCACAGCAATTACTGTGCAGTAAATTAGTCTAATGTGTAAGTTTGCTAGTATCTGTATGGTACTACGTTAACTGTGCATTAGCTACTGCACAGTAGCACACATGTAGATAGCTGACCAAGAGCAAATTTCTCCTGGTCATCCCAGGCAGCAGGGGGTGGAGGAACTGTCCTGCCTCCTGGGCAGCTGTCTGCCAGCCCCGCACCCTGATCTGCACAGGGCAGAAAGTAGGAAGCTGTCCCTGTCGGCAGGACAGGTAGGACAGCTCCCCTGTCCCCAGGAGCCCAGGCCTGACTGCTGTGCCCCTGCCAGCCCCAGGGCTGGCATTCAGGGAAGCCTGGATCTCCTCCTGGCTGCCGTAGAGAGGCAGAGCAGGGTAGGGGCATCCCTGAACAGAACTGCTCCTGTCGGGAGCAAATTTGCTCCTGACAGGTATACATGTAGACACATTCCCAGGGAAAGCTTACTGCGCCTGATTTTACTGTACAATATCCCTAAGGTGTATTAATGGCACATGTAGACATGCCCACTATGATATATTGGAGCAACAAGGTCACATCTGAAGTAAAATATTATGATAGAGTCCTGGCAGTACATTGCAATTATTTTGTCCTGCAGAAAAAATAGGCAAGAAACCTAGCCTCATCCATCATGAAAACTAAGCAAAGACCAAGCCTGTAGAGGACATAAAAATCATCTTTGACACTTTCTTCCAGCTGGTGACCTGCTTGGGATTGAGAGGAACTGAACTACATCATTGTAGTGAACTACTGGGCTTACACACCTGACACATGCAGGTTCTACACAGAATATTGCTTTGTTTCTAGGAGAGGAATGAGAGCTAGTGTTCATGAAACATTCTGAAAGTGCAAAGCACTATTGAGAAGCCAAGTTTTATTTTGTGGTGTGAGTGCAGAAGCTACAAAGACTCTGTTGGTCTGGATCATTGCTTATCCTCCACCCTCTTCTTAACTACTACAATCTTTTGCTAGATTGTTTCTGCTATTACTTCCTGATGTTGTATACAGGCAAGGGGCAGTACAAGGGCCAGTGGCAAATTTGTGTTAGACAAAGATTTTCACCTTTAGAACTTCCTCTCTTTACTAGTCCACCTGGGCATGGTGAGCTCAGGTACAGTGTAAGACTTACTTCTTATAATCCTTCTTTTCAGTCTTTTACCAGTGGGGTATATAGATTAGTTAAATATCCAAATTCCTATTAATTGGGGTTGAGTTTCATTGATCTTGTATTTGTAGGAGAAAGCACCCAGATGCAAGGCACTGATTATGTTAGATTTTTTTTTCTACTATATAGAGGCTTTTCATCCTCAGTGTAATAAAAATATCCTGACTTGAACATGAATTATAGAGACTTTCCATCCTCAGTGTAATAAAAATATCCTGACTTCACCATGAATATTCACAGACTCCAGCAAACTCGAAAGCCTATTAAGGGACAACAACCCTCTACTCAGAGTTCAAGAAACCGAGGAGCTGGTGTATCATCAACATCCTTGTACACAATCCCCGGCCCCCAAATAGACTTTTCTTTCACTCTCCCAGATCAATTTGGTTTCTGACATCTTGTAGAGGATCAAGAAAGAGGGGCAGAAACTTGAGCACTGGTGGTAGAAAGGAAAAGCTGACACATGCAGGATGAAATGTAATACCTTTTTCAAAGCTATACTGAGGCTGGACTGCAAGCTGCGGGAACTTTCCAATCAGGCTCCACTGAAGCTGCCAAATCCCACCCTAAGTACAAAGCACTGCAAACAACATTCGGCCTACTTTGCTGAAGGAGATCACACACATTCAGGAAGCTTTCTT